AAGCCTATAAGGCCATTACCCAACTCCCCAAGCCCATTAGCCCACTCCCTTTCCCTTATCCCTATTTCCCTTCGCCGGTTAACCACTTAACCCTAGCTTACACTATCAGACTCTCTCTCTAACTCTCTAAGCGGCTAACCCTAATTTGGTCTGACTTCTCATTTCGTCGGTCGCTGTTGCCGTCGTTGTAGGACTGTAGGCCTGTAGTCCTCAACCTAGTGAAAGCCTTCATCTCCTTGTAGGGTTTACCGTCTCTACTCTCTAACCTAGTGGAAGCCTTTCATCTCCTTCGTCTCGAGCCGTTGAGGTATAAAATACTTATTCATATTATGGTAAGTTTAGTCCTTGATGATGCATGGATGTTCTGAGTTGTGATTAGTCTTGTGATGTTCGTATATTTGTGAAAGTTGCATGTACAGATCTGTTCGAATGTTCGGTTATCCAGTTGTCCCTGTTAATTGTTGATGTATATTATGATGCATTCAAAATTTCAAATCTGTTTATTTGAAATATGAATGAAGTGTGGAAGCTAATCAAGCTATATATTCTATATTCATGTGTTGCCTACTGAGTACTGACTACCGTGGAGATGTCAGCTGTGGTTGTGACTTTTTATATTCATTTGTTAGTTGTTATGTTGTTTGTTGTACATAAGTAACATAACTGCCTTATTATTTTGATGAAGAAGCCCTTTTCAACTATAGTACTCAAACGAGTACAAAGAGTGAACTCGGTTCTTCAGAGTCTGTAGAGAAGTGAAAAAGCAAAGTGCTTTTATCCTTCTGTAAATCAGCTTGCTGATTGTTCCAGACTTACATATTATGGTTATTATTAGTGAGATATGAACTCTGTGGAAGCTCTTACTGACTGCATATGTACAGCTCTTATTCATGTGTTGCGTACTTGCCTTATCTGTGAGGTATTAAGTATTAACAATGTGGAAGTTTAGTATACACACATCAATATATCATGTGTTGCTTACTTGCTTACATTAGATGGACCCTGAAGAATGTGTGACCTTTTCTACATCTGGATCTCAACCTCCTCTGAGTCAAGAAACAGTGGTGGAAAGTCAAATTCCTGAGCCTAACATTACCAATGAGCAGACTGCACCATCTGCTGTTTCTGGACAAAAGAGAAAAGTGGTTGACAAAAGATCTAAGATTTGGGATCACTTTGATGAAATTAAGGATGAAAAGGGTGTGGTTACTGAGGGGAGGTGCATATACTGTGCAAAAATATACTGTTGTCACTCTAAGAAACATGGAACTTCCTCCATAAGAAATCACATGCTTAATTGCATGAAAAACCCCTATGCTAAAGACACTAGACAAGCCCTATTAACCTTCCAGTCTGTACCTCCACAGACAGGTGAACCATCTGGAAAGACTGGGGTCATGGGAACTTGGGTATTTGATCAACAAGCTATTAGGAGAGCTCTAGGTGAAATGCTAATCATTGATGAGCTTCCTTTTAGATTTGTAGACAGACAAGGTTTTAGGAATTTTGTTGCTGCAGCCTGTGCTAGGTTTCAAATTCCTTCTAGATGGACAATTGCTAGAGACATTTTTCAAATATACCTTGATGAAAAAATGACTCTAAAAAGGAATTTTAGGGAACACACTCAGAGAGTTAGTATAACTACTGATACATGGACCTCTATTCAGAGGATAAATTACATGTGCATTACTGCTCATTTCATAGATCATCAGTGAAAGCTCCAGAAAAAAATAATTTCCTTTGTCCCCGTCACCTCTCACAAAGGGGAGTACCTTGCTAAAGCCCTAGAGAATTGCTTACTTGATTGGGGTCTGAAAAGTATTTTTACTATGATTGTTGATAATGCTAGTAGTAATGATACAACTGTTGGTTTTTTCAAGAAAAAATTAGTAGCCTGGGGTGCTTCTTCTGTAAAAGTAAAGTGTGTTCATATGCGTTGCATTGCACACATCTTGAACTTAGCAGTACAAGATGGTCTTAAAGATTCATACACTTCAGTCATGAGAGTTAGGGAAGCTGTTAAGTATGTTAGGAACTCACCTGCTAGGCTTCAAAAGTTCAAAGATATATCTGATTTGATAGGAGTGGAAGCCAAGAGTGGTCTGCACCTGGATGTTCCAACTGGGTGGAATTCCACTTACCTGATGCTAAAATCTGTAGTTTGTAATGAGAAAGTGTTTGAAGCCTATGAGGAGAATGAATCTGCATATAGTACTGATTTGGGTTCTGACATGCCTGATGTTTTAGATGGGATTGCTGTTGAATCTTTTGTGACCATTCTAAAACATTTTTATGAAATGACACTAAGAATCTCAGGCTCACTGTATGTTACTTCCAATACATTTTTTTCTAAAATTTCCGACTTGTTCCTTGTCCTCAAAGATATGGTTGCCTCTCCAACTGCTTCTGTCAGTGCCATGGGGAGTACTATGAAATCCAAACTAGACAAGTACTGGGGTGATCCTGAAAAGATGAACTATCTAATCTTCTATGCTAATGTCTTAGATCCTAGGGACAAGTTTGAGTATATGCCATTTCAGCTAAATGCTTTATATGGTGATAAAAGGGTGCTGCTTTTTTCTAAAAGTGAAGTCAGGTCTAACTGAGTTATTTGTTGATTATGTTTCAAGTTACCCTGACTGTGTTGGTGGAAGTTCTAATACAACTTTTACTTCTGGAGCATTTATGGAGTGTGGTAATTCTGAAAATAGGCCTGTGTCCAGGTTTAAGGCTGATCTTAAAAAGAAGAAGCTTGAGAGTGGTCAGCTAGGAGTTAAAAAATCTGAACTTGATATATATTTAGCTGAGTCCGTAATTGAGGAAGATGGGGACTTTAATATTCTAAGATGGTGGAAGTTAAATAGTGAAAGGTTTCCTATACTTTCCAAGATGGCTAGGGATGTACTTGGTGTTCCCATTTCCACAGTTGCTTCTGAGTCCACTTTCAGTACAAGTGGTAGGGTTTTGGACTGTTTTAGGAGTTCATTAAGTTGTAAAATTGTGGAAGCCCTTATATGTGCACAAGATTGGTTGAGAATGGCTCACTAGCCTATCTCAGTTGAAGAAAACATTGATGAAGTAGAGAGGCTGGAAAAAGGTATAAGTTCAATGTATTTTCATGTATTATTTGCTTATTCTGAAGTTTATTGTTTAAATTTCAAAATTCTAACAATTCTGTTTGTTTGTTATAGAAATAATGGATGGAAATGTTGGTGGTGGAGATGCTGCTCATACTGGATCCTCTATTGTGCCATTAAGTGTACAATTTCTATATTTATATTGTGCATTTATGCCATTATGTGTTTGGTTTTCCATTTGAATGTGTATGAACATGAGTACATGACTCTATGATTTGGCATTGGCTATGATGAAGCTTCCACTCATTACTGCATATAGGGCTTAGGGTTGGTATTACTCTTTCAGTTCATAAAATGGTAAGTTGTAACTGAAATTGTAGCAGATGCCCCCTATTTTCCTTGTGAATGATAAAAAGCATTATGAGCTCTATGAATGTCTGGTTTGTTTTATTATGTGCTTGTTTTTCCATTTGAATGTGTATGAACATGAATACATGACTCTATGATTTGGCATTGGCTATGATGAAGCTTCCACTCATTACTGCATATAGGGTTTAGGGTTGGTATTGCTCTTTCAGTTCATAAAATGGTAAGTTGCAACTGAAATTGTAGCAGATGCCCCCTATTTCCCTTGTGAATGATAAAAAGCATCCTGAGCTCTATGAAATGCCTGGTTTGTTTCATTATGTGTTTGTTTTTCATTTGAATGTGTATGAACATGAATACATGACTCTATGATTTGGCATTTGCTATGATGAAGCTTCCACTCATTACTGGTACTGCATATAAGGTTTAGGGTTGATATTGCTCTTTTAGTTCATGAATGGTAACTTGTAAGTTGTAACTGAAATGGTAGGCTATAACAGATGCCCCTTATTTCCCTTGTGAATGATAATAAGCATTCCGAGCTCTATGAAATGTCTGATTTGTGCCATTATATGCTTGTTTTTCCATTTGAATGTGTATGAACATGAGTACATTGCTATATGATTTGGTGCTGGACCTGCTGCCAATATGAGTATAATGTATTACACTATTATGCGCTTGTTACATTTGAATGAGCATGATTCTGTCATTCTGGAAAGCATGCACAGGCTGCCAAGTGCCAACTATCCCTGAACCCTTGTACCCTGCTCTGATTTGCAGGTTTTGTGTAAGTATCTCATAATCCCATTAATCCTTTACTCTATCACTTCTATTAATTTTCATTGGCTATGATGAAGCTTCCACACATTAGTGAATGTATAGTTTAAGGTTGGTATAGCTCTTTCAGATAATAACATGTAAGTTTTAACTGAAATTGTAGCAGTTGCCCCTATATTCCTTGTGAAGGATAACAAGCATTCTGAGTCAGTGAATCAATGATTTCTCTGATTTGTTTCATTAACTTATCCTTGTTAAGTTGTTATTGACATATTGTACTACTCTACTACATGTCTATTGCTTTCCATGTGTTCATTAACTTTCTTATGCAGGTGGAAAATTCAAACTGTGGAAGATAGTTGTGGAACTTCAAAGTCTTCAAGCATTTTTGCATTTTTGCGTACTTGACTAGTTGGAACTTTGTATGTTAATGATTAATGAACTGTGTAATTCAATAATCTGTATTTTGTAATATGCTAAAACTCTTTGTTACAATTTTGATCGCCCCTACTCTGTACTTTGTAATATTCACATTATGTATGAGAATCAAATTATGTTTTGCAATTGTAATATTTTAGATTTACTAGTGTTGAAATTACAAATTTTTTTGCAATTTCAAATTATTTTAGTTGAAACTTGAAACCGACTAAACTCGATACCCGATCCGAACCCGCCCTACCCGAAATACAATAAAACCCGAAAATATCTAAGTAAAAAAACATAGAGTAGGATATCTATATTACACATCCCAAACCCGAAAGGGTATTGGATTCATCTACCCGCCCAACCCGCTCACCCCTGCTCTTAAGCCCTAGACAACCACTGTTTTAGACTTTCAGGTAAATATGCATTTCGCGCGCAGCTGCCCATTTTGTTTCAGCACCTCACTGAACTACTGAAGGCCTGAAAGGACGGGGAATAACGCGCGGTACTACTGACATGCTTCACCTTCATAATCGTGGAGTGTTCTTCTTGCACAGTCTGCGTACATGTACCTGTAAATTGAACAATTTTCTGATGACAATGGCGTCCTCCAAGCACCTGGTCCATACTTCAATGAGAACTCCTTTCATGGCAGCGCCAAAGTCCTCTTCAAATTCCACAACACTGTCAGCTCCTTCCCGCCTGCTCCCAACTTATAGCCCCAGAATCATCTTCTCTGCATCTTCTTATAAGCAAATCTCTCCCATTTGCCAGGCGTCCCGTCTGTCAGACACTGCCCGTCCCGTTTATCCCCCACCAGGTTTTTACGCTGCCGTGATTGAAATTTGTGTAAATGGTTACTAGTTTTGATGTATTGTTATTTAAGTTGATTTTGGATGTTTTTTTAGTTTCCCCGGAAGATAGCCAACAGTTGAAGTCCTCACGCTTGAGAGGTAAACTGAAGGAGATCGGAATAAGTTCTGGTTCATGCGACCCTGGTCAGTACAATGCGTTGCATTGTCCAATGGTAATGGCTTAAGACTGCCATTAACTCTGTTATCCGAGCATTCCATTAGTTTCAATATTTACAATAATATATTTCCAAAAATTATCCCTATATGTTTTGGTAGAGGTGGAATTTGACAGCAGGTTTCAAATTTGCCATTTAAAAGAACCATTTGTTGTTACCATTTTCCGTGCAGTTTCAACTTGCAAGAGGTTCATTTTCTTTCAAAGTGACTAAATACAAACATGTCCCACCACACACAGAACATAGTAGTATTGCTCAGCACAAGGGTTTAGCAATTAATTATTTATCTATCTTTAGAATGGATTGATTAGAAACATACCCTACCATGTTATATAGGTTGCTGCTTGAGCTTTGGAAGAGGGCTATACCTTTTTTTTTGGATGAAGAGGGCTATACCTTTTGATTACACATAATGTTGTAGCATTTGTAGAGTTCTAAATGGAAGTTCTTCAAGGAGTTCTCCATTTATAAGGAATTCATGGTGTAGCGAGGCATGACTTTATTTAACAACATGTATTCACACTGAGAGTGCTGTTAGGAACTACTTATTTTATAGCTAGATAGTAGATATAACAAAGTATTTAAAAGTAAATGTCCATAAACATGGAGAACAATTGCAATACTTTATGTTGGGATATTTGCCCATGCCTAAGAAGTAAGACCATGGAAGCATGGACCATGCACCACGTTACCACCACTTCAAGTCCAGAAAAGCTCAAGAGGGGCCCATGGCCATTGCCAATAGGCTGTGCTCAATAGGTCCCTTCCTGATTCTACCTATGCCTCAGTTGCCTTTAGGAACCACAGAAGACGTATCTTTCCTTTTGTATTAGTTCCCTCTGTCCACACCCATCATCACATTCGCCACAACCTGTGCTCCTCTGCAGATCTGGACAGACTGCAGACAGTACGTGGACCAATAAGAAGTGTCAATCTAAGCAATCATTTAAAGCCCTCAGCACCTATATGTATTCATCTCCAGTTCCATGAGAACTTTATATGAGCCGTAGCCACTCATGATCTTGGTCCTGTCGTATACTCATAACTACTTCCAGAGATTACAAAATGCTTTACTATTTCTTTGCTGTCTATTTTTCCTATATATGTATGAATGTGTGTATCCATGCATATATGCATAGATGAAATGAAGAGGAAAAGTAATGTCACCCTTCATCTCTTAGCTAATATTTCTTCAACTTATATATAAACTATTTTCGACAGTTCTCACTCAATAGTTAGTTCAATCACTTCACTAATTCTAAAAAAAGTAACTAACAAAACCATATCTTAGTCTATCAAGGTCTATGTTGGACTTATACATGTTTAATGCCAACTTTTTGTATTTACAAATAGTCAAATACAAAGAACACCAAATTTTAATACTCTGCAGTCTGCACTTAGGAATACCCTCACAAATTTGAACATGTTGACCTTTTCACATTCTGTTTAAGCTATTTATGTATTGTATTACCTTTTTTACTTCTCAAGTTCTGATTTCCTCTTAATGTGTGGTCATGCATTGTTCTCTTGCTGCAGTGTAATGGCGGGGATACTAACGAGAGAAGCTTATCGCTTTGTATTGATCAACATGGGTAATTGGTTGTAGGGTTTTGTAATTATTGAACTATAATTGGGTGTATGAATTTGTATTTATTGGACTATTCCATTCCGCTAACAGTATGCAGATAAATTAATTCATCTATTCCTAGGAATTCAGCCAAGTGGATCTGCCATCGAGGTAAATGTGGCTGGAATGGCAGCACACAGGTATAGTTTGAAATATTTAATGTTTTATTATTTATCACTTAAACAATTTTAAGTTGTGACACCTGAAATTGATGTTTTTTATCTGGTTGCAGGTATTTGCAGACACGAAACCTAATTACAGTATGAATCAGGTCACAAAACTAAATAAGAAGATCAGACAGTTAGACGAGCAGAGTTTGAGATTAGAACCATTAAATAATGAGGTATATAGCTGTTTGGGAACTCTCCACCTTAAGCTTTCTATTACTTCTCTTTTTATTTTGGGTTGTTGCGTAGTCATCTATGCGCATTTACTTTATGTTAAATTAAGACAGGATTGCTATTGATGGTACTTGATAAGTTGATATAAAACAATAAGACCTGTCTTTCTCAGTTTGTCTATCCTTCCTTTTTATGTCTTTCGTCTCCATCCATCTCAATCTTTTTCTACCCTGCACAATTTATGCTACATAAACATTAAGTCAGGATCGCTGTTACATGTCCCCCCCTCCTCCTCCTCATCATCATCATTACCCCAGTGCCGCAAAGGCTCCCACCTATGGTGGGGTAAGGGGAGGTTGGATGTACGCAGTCTTACCCCTGTACTAAAGCATAGAGAAACTGTTTCCGGGTGACTCATAGTGAAAATCGCGTCGAAAAATGCATGAACTGACTGCTGATTCATAACAAAGAAACGTAGACAATTTAGTGAGCCATTTTGCTTTATTCCATCATATTCCATCATAACTGATCGCTGTTATATGTTATTTAGTGTAAAATCAATAAGACTCATCTTATAGGTGTTATATTCATCAAGCCACCAATGGGGCACCACTCAAACAATTGGATGGATTTGGTTGCATCATTATGCTTTTTTGCATGTCGAAGTTCTATATTATGGTTTATTGGTGTATATAACTGCTAAGTTCTACTTCATCAGTGATTCAATTTTCTTGTATTGCAGCTGCTTTCATACTTTTCACAGAGAATGATTACTGGGGAGACCTTGAGAAGAAATGGTGTCATGCAGCTTAAAGCTTCTAAACAGGTTCATCATCTTCTTGAGTTCTTATGTTATTGCGCATGGTGTGACTTTAAGGCTGGTTGGGGAAATATTAAGTTTTTTGCGCTTGGAAATGGCTACCAATTTGTCTCAATAAGTTCACGTTGTATGTCATTATTTCTGATGTAAAAAGTGGATGCTAAAGTACATTTCGACCGAGCAGATACTTTTCCAAACAAAAGTGCTTTTATGACCTGTAGTGTCTCAACATTAAAGTTGTTTCGTGGTTACAAATATGACTGGGCCCTAGTTTATCATCACTTTTTAAACTACGTTGTAAAAATTACCTAATTGTTGATTTCTATTCCTATTGGAATCCATAAGCAAGTAAATGTACTAATGTAGGTAATTAGGCTCATGAGCGTTTCACCCTTAGCTCTTGGGCTACTTTATTATTTGGAATTGCACCCGGGGGCTAAATGCAAAGCTGTTTGGCAGCTGCAGTGCTGCTACTCTTCTGCAAAGCCTGATCTTGTAGCTAAAATTATGCATTTCCTTCATTTTCTCTTCTTAGTATGTCCTACTTTTCAGCCTGTGTGATGCACTGAATATTGATAACATGCAAGATTCGTTATAATATTAATATTTTCTATAGTAAACCATGTATATAATGGTTCACATATATCTTTTCATGTATACAATAATTAAATAACAAAAACTTTATTTTCGTAAACATTTTGTAGATACCTAATTAACTAAAACTCTATTTTTCTTAAACATTATATACTCACTCAAACTCTATTATCTTAAACATTAAACGCAAAATTTGACTAGCAATGGTACTCAAAATATAACTATGGCGCACTAACTATGACACACAAAATCTAATTAACATATATACAAATAATGACATGATGCGCTTAGTGTGGAACACTCGATGCTTCTAAGAATAGGGCTGTGAACAAATCCAGTTGAGCTTAATAGCCAAGTATTCAGATTTGACTCAATAAAATTTATCTGTATTCAGATACGAATTTGGCTCAAATCCTAAATGGGATTTCAAATTGCTCTCTTAAAGTATTCAATCTATTCGAATTCAAGTGTTCATTTAGTAGTATAAGAAATTATTTATTCTTGTTGTATTAATCCATTGTATTATTTGGCATTAACATTGTATATGGATACCAGAAATTGATATTTAAGTAAATAATATATAAATAAATACATATACAAAGGTTTTCCAAATAGTTACCGACTACTGAATCCTAATATGTGGTAGTCAGACTCAGATTAAATAATTATCCTAATATTTTTTCATTAGGATTCAAACTCTGATTAGGATTAGCCGAATAGGTAATATTGGAATCCGAATGTCATATACAAATTCCAATGTCATATATGAATTCTAATTTTGAACTATCAATAAGAATTCGATTCATTTATAGCCCTACCATAGAACGTCCTGTCAATATATACTCTTTATTGACCTATTAAAGGCTTGTGTTAGGGTGAGCGTATAGAAGTATTCTTTGGACTAGCAATTGCAATATTAGGTTTAATGGGGGTAATATAAATCCATTCTTTTCACCGTTAAACTTGTTTGAAATTTCTGTTGATGCAGATTGCGATTGCATTTCCTTACCGGAGGAATGGCAAACTAGTTAGCTGCAAATACCGGAATGTAAAGAAAACATTTTGGCAGGTGCTTGTCGATAATCCTTTCTTTGGCTTAAAAACCTAACGACTTTTAAGTGTGATAAATTGCCACATTTTCCCCCCTAACACCACTGGCTGCATGCATACATTATTCATTTGAACAACATTTCTTAATTTCACCTTTGTGATACATGCAAGTTGTAACATCTGCATGGCTAATGCTTTCACAGTAGAGTGGGGAAAAGACCCTCTTGATTTATTCAAGAAAAAGTGGCGATTGGATTTGGGGTTTACATTTTAAGATCATCATTTATGTCCGGACTCACGTGTCCAGTGGCTCCGTTCTCATTGACTTCAGCCCCCCAGTGACATGTTGCCCCAGTGACCCGCCGCCGCCAGTGATCCGCTGCCGTTGCCGGCCAGTGGCAGTTACACCACCACCCCAGTGACTCGCCACTAGTGGCCTATTCTTTTTTCAGTGATCCACCACCTCCCTGGGGCCCTCCGCCCCTGCCCCCACCAGCCCCTCCCCTCCTCCACCAGTCCCTTCCATGCCCTACCAGTCCCTTGCGCCACCAGCCTACCCCAGCCCCAGCCCCAGTCCCCAATCCCTGCACCGCCGCTGCCCCACCCCTCCCGAGCTCTTACACTGCCATCCCCCACCTCGCCCCCTTCACCGTCGCTGCCCCTGCCTCCCCACCCCCTCCCAGCCTCCCAGATCCCCTGCCCAGCCCTTGCACCGCCACAAACCCTAGCTCTGCACTCAAAACCTTTACCCCCACCTTTGTCTGTTGGACATCGCCAACAACGTCCGCTGTTTGGTCGCCATCCCCACCACCGTGTGCCTATACTGATTTCTCACACGGAAAGATTGATGAACCAGAAATAGATCCACACCAAATCTATGCCGCGCTGTCTCCGAGTGTTGCTAATTTACCGCTAGGCATGGACTCGGGCTGGGTCGGGCCCGGTCGGGCCTCCGGTTTGTATCACATGGGCCCGGGACCGGCTCGAGGGTTGGACGGGTCCGGTTCGGGCCGCGCCACCCGCCCGGGTCACGAGTCGGGCCACCCGCCGGGCTGGCCGGGCCGGGCCGGTTAAAGTAATTTTTTTTATAATTTATATTTTATACTTTATAGTTTTATACAAGTATTAAAAACAAACTTCAAGTGCATTTATATGAAATGAAATAGGAACTACATTTGAAAATTAAAACAAACTTCAAGAGACAAACATTTTGTAAATTGTAATCAATCGGAACTTCCCGCACCTCCCGATCCTTTGGCTTTGTCTCATGACTTAATATGCTTCATTGCCATCCCGTATCCGCCTGAAACCCCCATGCTACATTTCCCCCCGCACCATTTGCAAGTTGCGTACCACATCCCGATCTTCGGGTCCTTCTGCTTATCAAAATTATACCGTATAACGGCATCTTGACTTTCCATCTTAAAAATGGTAGATATAATAATCCTACAATAGATGGAGATGAAGATGGAGATTGGAGAATGGAGATTAGAGATTGGAGAAGATGTGTATAAAAATGTTAGAAAATAAGAGTATTTATAGAATTTTTTGTACCCCCACCCACCCCCACCCCCAACGGCTCTATGCCTCTATTGATTCAAATTTCAAATTATCAATAGAGCCGTTGGTGCTTTTGAATTTTGATTTCAAATTTTTTTGTATGTTTTATTTTGAATAAATTACATAATGTAAAATTAATTAATTAATTTTATGAATTAAAAAAAAATGCTACATATAAAAAAATGAACGTATATTTATTTGAAATATGAACTACAAGTGTACAAGTTACAATTGAGAATTGAAGGTAAAATTAAAACATGAAATACTAATCAATCATTCAATCGGAATCTCCGGCATAGGTAGAGCCACCCTCGATTGTAGATTCATCCATAAAGTGTTGGGATGGGGTGATTTCAATTTCTTGAGCTCTACGGGCCGCTTTCAACCAATCGTGGTAGCATATAAGCATCTCAAGAGATTCCGCGCTCAACCTCGTTCTACATTGCGTTAGGACATTGCCGGCCGAACTAAATTCTTGTTCCACGGCAACCGTTGAAACCGGCATTGATATGAAAAAATGTTTAAGATTAAGAGTATTTATAGGTTTTTTTACCCCTCCCCCACCCCACCCCCCAAACCCCCCGGACCCCCCCTGCACCCCACTCAACGGCTATATAGCCGTTTGGGTTGTCTCCAGCCCACCCCCCAACGGCTATTTTGGCCAAAACATTTTTTTTAAAAAATGACCGTTGGACCCGGGCCCGACCCGGCCGGGCCGGGTCAACTTTTTCCGGAACCGAGCCCGCCCCGCCCATCCTCACCGGTTCAGGTCTACACCCGGTCCCGGACCGCCAGACCGGGCCGGTCCCGGGCCCGCACAGTAGCGGGCCGGGCCGGGTCACGGGCCGGGTGGCCCGAACCGAATCCACCCATATTTACCGCCCTCGTTGTTAGGTCCTCACTATCCTCAACCATACGAGCAGAAGGAGAAGAAGTGTAGAAGGAATAATTAAAGAGGAGCAACAAACCTGGTCGACGGCTGCAATGAAGCAGCACACGAGTGGCAGTGATGCAGTTGGGTGACGGCGATTATGATACAGCTGGCAGTGGTACTAGCGACGTGAGAGAGATGACCCAACGAGAAGCCGATCGATGATAGAGGCCCGGGGTTAGGGTTTGTTTTTTATTGTAATATCAAAGGCTTTTCCGACTTTTCAGTTTCGATTTGGTCTCTTTTTTGTTCTAATCGGAATTTGGTCCTATATTTGTCTATTTGCAAAGCCATATGTAATATTTATGTCATTGTTTCAATAAAGTTTACGTCATTTTCATTTCATTTTCATTTACCCCAATGCCTCAAAGGCTCCCACCTACGGTGGGGTAAGGGGGGGTCGGATGTACGCAGTCTTACCCCTGTACTAAAGCATAGAGAGATTGCTTTATTCCATCATAATCTTAAGCCAAAAAATAATGAATTTTTGGCTCCATTGCAAATGATGGAAAATTTCAATAAAGTTTACGTGTTTGTACAAAATCATTTTATTAATTCATTTCTATTTTTTTTTGACTGGAAACTGTTTATATTAATATAAAGAAGGCCAACAACCCAACATCCAAACCTCCCACAACCCCAATGTTCTCTTCAGACAATCTATTGCCAAAAGGCCCCCTCACTCTCTGATCAGGCGTAGGGTAGCTTGCCCGATGATGAGCAATACTACTCGCTGGACATGGGAGAGATTCAAAGCTAAATTCAGCTACCAAAGCCTGCATACTTTCAACCCTCCTACTAGCTAACCCCAACAAAACGAAATTATCCTTGTCACCAGACGGAAAAACAAAACAAAAAACAACGTACTTAGAAGTGGAATAAAAACTGATAACTAAAAATTAAACGATAACAAGGAGTCTTCGAGTCATCCTCTCCCTGGTGAGCCTGCAAGTATCTCAATCCTGTGTTGGGCAGACTGTTGGCTTGTAGCCCGCCTTCGCCCCATTTTTTGACTGTCCCTGCTCCACATCCACATCATGGATCCTGGCCTCGTCCCCTTCACCTGCTATGCGTCTACGTTTCTGGCCTGTTTAGTCACTCGTGGGCTTTGCTCCTCCTGCTGTCATCCAACTTTGTCTAACCCCCATTTCTGCAATAGAGTCAATATCCACAGCCCCTGCTTCCTGTTCCTTCCCCTGTCCGCCCCCAGCTGGAACTAGCCATTTGTTACCTTCACTCTGAACCCTCCCCTTTGTAGCTCTAAGCCAAGGTCCAAACAATCTAGCACTCCCCTCCAAGCTGCTCCACGTCTTGTGGGGACAAAAGTTCTCCGTGTGCCCGATTATTCCGCAAAGAAAACAGAAGCTAGGCAATTTCTCTTAGAGGAAAGAAACACAATAGCTATTACCCTCTTCCGTTTGCAAAAATAGTTTTCTTTTCAATGACTTATCTATATCAATGGTGGACTGAATGCGCATAATGGATTCCATTTTTCATTAAAATTGTGCTCGTCCATTGTTAGGGTTCTGTGACTGAGAACGAGTCCAGGGACGTCTTGGGGTAGCAGGGTACCCGGTTGAGGTGATAACCTGCCTGCTAGGGTTACTCCTCTTCTTGCCCGTGGCTGGAAGAGCGCAGTAAGAGCGCAGGGGGAAGGTGGAAGTCCGTGACTTCTCTCTGGGGATTAATTCTTCTGATGATCGATTAATAGGCATCCTGCCTTTACATTAATAGGCTGCTGTGTTGTTTCATATCTGTTGTAGGACCCGAGACTTTTACAGGTGCAAGCGTCAGTGTTTGCCTTGCTTCCAATGTCCGTGCAAGGTTCATGGCGTAACCCAGGTTGCCTGGTTTTGCTATCTCCACATCAGCCCGTAAGTGGGGATGGAGACCTGCGACAAACAAAGCAATCTAATGGGGGGACTGTATTTGTGAAGTTCTTGCTAAGGCCTTCTGAAATTGAGCACAATATTCATCAACTGATCCGATCTGCATCAAGAAGTTTCAGATCTCCAATCGGGTTAGAACTCAAAGGGGGCCCAAAGCGCTCCAGACAAAGATCTTTAAACCTCTCCCAGTTGACTTCTCTTCTTCCTCTATCATCTGATCGAACCACAGTTGTGCATCATCTATCAAGTGGAATGAGACCATATTCATCTTTGCAACACCAGGAGTTTCTTGGTTCAAGAAGAATTTTTCGCACCTTTTCAACCAACTGGTAGGGTCGTAGATGCCATCAAACACAGGAAATTCCATCTTCGCATACTGTGGTTTCCAGGGGTTTGAGGTGCTGTGTGATATCAGGTTGTTATCGGGTTGCTCTTCATGTGTTTCTGTTGAATTGGAATCCCGTTTTTGGACTGCCAGAGATAGAGCGGCAATCTGCCCTTCTATGGCGGTTACCCTAGCAGTCATAGCCTCCATAAACTCCTTCATCATGGTGGTTAAATCATCATTCTGTGGCGCCATGGATCGTGAAAGCTCTGATACCAAATTGTTAGGGTTCTGTGACTGAGAACGAGTCCAGGGACGTCTTGGGGTAGCAGGGTACCCAGTTGAGGTGATAACCTGCCTGCTAGGGTTACTCCTCTTCTTGCCCGTGGCTGGAAGAGCGCAGTAAGAGTGCAGGGGGAAGGGGGAAGTCCGTGACTTCTCTCTAGGGATTAAATGATTAATTCTTCTAATGATCGATATTTTATTAAGGCTGAAATCATCATCATCATCTTCATTTACCCCAGTGCCGCAAAGGCTGCCACCTACGGTGGGGTAAGGGGGGGTCGGATGTACGCAGTCTTACACCTGTACTAAAGCACAGAGAGACTGTTTCCGGATGACCCATAGTGTTATTAACTTATTACTAAATAAGTTCTAGTCTGAAAAAGGAATATAAATAGGCATCCTGCCTTTAAATGATAGAGTTCTAGTCTAACTAAAACTGTAACCTCTAAATACTTCTATTACTAATAGGACTTCTAATCTAATAGAAATTGTAACCTCTAATACTTCTATTCCTAATAGGAAGTAATAAATAAAATATAAAAAATAGCATCAGGATAATTTCCCTCTTCTAATTAAACTGTTCTAATTAAATCTCCTGCTAGATCCATAAAATGCATCCGTAACATCCATCCTCACAAATTTTCCCACAAAATTACCTATTCTTTCTGCATTTTTAGGGAGAAATAGCCTACCGGAATTCCATAAACCTGTATCCAGAAGTCTGTCTTATTCAAAGCCACACTTAACAGTAAATCCCCTTCCTCAAGCTTTTTTAGGACAATCAGATTTTAATCAAATAACCATTGCCCTTCAAGCGCCACTTTAAGCATGTCACATTCATGATAAAATTGAAACATATAACGCCTAGTTCCAATATCTGTTATGGTGATGCCTTTAACGGGTTTCCAAACTGACGCCATAGTGTCTCTAAAGATAGAGAAACCAACCGGTTTCTCCGATGTGATAATGCCGATTAAAGTCAAGGTTGCACTGCTTACCCCTGAATTCACAGCTTCCACCAAAATCGCTTCATCTTCCTCCTCCATCTCCATTCTTCCATAAGCTTGGGCAAGAGCCTCAATCTCTTCCCGATGATTATCATCTGTTTCAAGAATTTGGCTTTGTAATGTGTGAGAACCTATCGCGTGTTGCAGTCGAACCGGCGACCTGCATGATCGCTGTCCTGCTTCAGTGCTGCTGGACTCCATCTCGCTGAGAGATAGCTTTGCTGCGTGAAACAGTACTGTTGCGAAGTAGCATTGCGGTCTAAATGTTTCCCAACTTAGGGCTAAATGTGCAAGTTTCCCTTATTATTATTGTGGTTTTTGCTGATGGTGTTTTTATTTCACATTTTCCTAATAGCAGATTCTTGTGCCATTTTTTTCAGGAAAGTGACACTGAAAAAATTCTTTATGGATTGGATGATATAATGGGAGCAAGTGACATCATTATTGTAATATAAAGTGTATTAAACTATCATTATTATAGAATTGCTTTAGCACTATGTTACATGTAAATGAATACTTGCCTATTGTAGGTTGAAGGTGAGATGGACAAGCTTGCAATGGAAGAAGCTGGCTTCCGTAATTGCGCCAGTGTCCCTGATGGCGCTCCCCCTTCAGTTTCAAAGAAAGAGCTACCCGCTGAGGATCAGGTCACTGCCTCATATTATAAGCAGCACAACTGGCTTCTTATGCACACCTGTCTTTATCATTTCTGTATTTTATCTTCTTTTTAGCAAAATGCATAACTGTCTCATGACTCTTATGATATCTTCATGCAAATGTGAAAACTATGGTGGTGATGGTTTTGGAATTTCGTGATATGGTTCCTGTAGGACAGACATCATTTGTTAAACTTTGGCACTGTTTTTTTATCTAAGAAGGTTGCAATAGGAAGGACATCATTCACAGGAATTTATCACATGTTTTTTGCATAAGTTATAGTATTGATATGTTGACTTATTCTAGTCAATATATTGATGCTATTGATTTCATGACACCGACGCTAGCATAGCTGCGATTAAGGTGATGACGATGACGCTAAGTAGTTAAATCACTACTAAGTAGCTTCTCAGTCAAGGGCCGAGTAGTGAGTAGGACCGAGTACTCGGGATTACTCGGCCCTATATTAATTAATTTTAAAAATATAAATGTCCAGAATTATAGTAATATATCATTCTTATACTACCTCCGTCCTAATAAGTAATAACATTGGGACATGAGGAGGTGGTGTGGTTGTTAAGAGAGACGGATTTATGTGGTTAATAATTGAATTGATAAAGTAAGAATAAGGTAAAAATGATTTAGAACCACACAAATTTTAACAAATTTGGTATGGGACGATCTTATTGGGACGGACTGAAAAGGAAAGATAGGACAATCTTAGCGGGACGGAGGGAGTAATTCTTAAGTATGAATAAAATAACGGAAAAACTCACATGAATAATCCGAATGATAACAGGTCTTCTGGTATTAATCCCAAACATGTGTAATTCTGAAATAATACGAAATTCAGGGGTTGTCTTCTCATATTGATCTTAGGTGACCTGCTACCTATTAACCTGGTAAAAAATTAACAAAATAAAAAAAAGAGAAAAAGGAACTAATGGAGTCGCGAATACCATGTATCGTCCATTCGTCCCTCAGCTCATTTGTTTTTCCTTTTTCTCTTCTTTTCTTCCCTGATTTCTTTTTATACTTTCTGTTCACCCACCCCCTTCTTTCCTATTCTAATTTGCAGCAGCCATAGACATATATTCTCCGTCATTTTCATCCTTTATTTTCTTTGCATCTTTGCACTTTCCTCTTCTCCCTCCATTACATCTGGAAACATCTTTTTTTTTTGTTTTCTTCCCCAAAAATTGCATCTAGAAGATTTGAACCCCTCCCTCGCTATTCTCAAACTCAAAATTTTATTTCACTGTTTCAAGTGCATCTCCTAAAGAATGTTTTGGCTACTCCAACTCAGAAATTAGAGAAGCTACACATTAGGCTTCTTTCTTTTTCTTCACATTCCTCTTCTACTTCTTTTTGTACAATCTGTCTTCCGAAAACCTCTAATGAGTTTCCGACAAGATGTGGTGGACTCAGAAACCATCTCCATTGGGGTCTGATGACGATGCTAGTTTGAAAAAAAGAAGAAGAAAATATTTAAGGGAATTGGGAAACCTTCAAGTATACCTGTTGAAAATTTGATGCACTGGCCAAATTAGTTTTCCCCAACATGAAACCTAAATAATGAAATTGAAATTGGACTGGAGTGGCCGGCTTTGAGAAAGGATAGAGGAGGAGAGGGTGATATGGAGATGAAATAAAAGAGGGGAGGAAAAAAAGAAAGGGAAAGCGGGCACAGGGGATGAAGAAAAGAAGAAGCACTACGTCAGTGCTGGTGGGGGGAGACATAAATGGTATGGAGAACAGGAAAGGATAAAGAAATGAAAAGAAAAAATAAAAGAAAAAGAGAAAGTTATGGGGACCAATAAAAACATGCCACATAGCTGGGTGACCTACTGAATTGGTTCATGTAGGTGAACGGTTTGTTATGAGAAGACATCCTTTAAAGTTTAGATTATATTGGAATTATTAATATTTGGGATTAATATAAGAAGACCGGCAATAGTTGAGATTATTAATATGAATTTTTCCTTAAATAATACTCCTAATAATAATTCAATGAAGAAGAAAAGAGAAAGAATTATACTGTTGGAATGAGCCGATGCATGAAATACTTTTAAACCTAGACTTTTTACGTTTAATTTCCGTTTTTAAAAATACCCACTCATCAGTTATAAATTCCATAATATCCCTCTTTAATTAAAACTTTTGAGATTTAACAAAAAATACTACGTATATTTTAAGGCTGGCCGAGTAACTCGCTGAGTCAAAAATTTCCCCGAGTCAAGAAACTCGCCGAGTACTCGGTGAGTAACTTGGAAAAACAGGATGGGCCGAGTCGGATTGCTAAATGGAACGGCCACCCCCGAGTTGCGAGTACTGACCAAAATCACAATTCTTTCATATTTGTCCTTGATAAACACAGCTTTCTTTTTCCATAGTACTGAATTATCTTCTAGAAGTTCTGAACCCAATGCTTGTTTTTTGAATTCTGTAATGCTAGGACACGAAATATCAATATCTTTGGAACTGCAAGGAGGCTTTTGAAAAGGTTTGCTGACACACGTTCATATTTTATATTTTATAATGCCATGAAAATGCTGAAACCAGCTTTTGATTCCCTGGATGTAGGCCTCTCGTATAATACTTGCAACTGATGGGGATGCACCTGGCCAGGCTCTTGCTGAAGAGCTTGCTCGCCGTTTAGGAAGAGAAAGGCATGCATTTCTCTTTGTAGATGTTATAATGGTCATGTGACCTAGTTTATTTTTTTCTAATTAAATTAGTAAATAAGCTAAATGGCATGACATAAAGCTTATTTTCTCAATAGGTGCTGGCGAGTTAAATGGCCTAAGAAGATTAATGGGGATTGCAAAGATGCTAATGAGGCAAGCATGCTCTATTGAATTTTATTTAGATTATTTATCCATGTAATTTCTATAATAAATCAACAAGGTTTCGACTTGATACTATTTCAAAAATCTCAAGGCACTATTATTTATCCGTGTAGCCTGGCGCCTAGTGCCTATATATTACGATGCTTAGAGTTCCCTCTTCTTTTAAAAAATTCAAAATGTGTCCTAGTTTGATTTATTTATGAGTTTTTTATTTTATGGTAATAATAAAAATAACTCATTTTATTCCTAAATGTCATGAGTATGTTTTTTGTTGTAACATAATAAATATAAAGTAATTAATAGACAATTAGAAACTGAATTTGTTTTTGTCCTCTTTGGTTGTTGAAATAGCTCATGTACTTTCAAAGTTGCATCTTCATTGTAAAAAAAGTACTCCCTCCCTCCTTCCCTTCCTATGTTCATCCCATTTTACCTTATTTATCTTTACCACTAAGTTTGTCCCATACCATATTTAGTAATATTTCGGTGGTTGCAGTTCGTTCTTACTTTTTCCACACTTTACTAATTCAAAACCAACCATACAATTCCACTTTTCTTAATAACAATACCGTTCTCTCATGTCCCAATTTTAGGGGGACAGAGGTAGTAAAATTATTAGACAAATAGAATGATGAAGGATCAAACAATATCAGTAGGGCCAAGGGGTGGACTGGAATTGACTGACCCTTTAGTTTGCCTAGACATGTCTGCCTTGGCCGATTCTTCCACACACACTAGTGCCTTACGGCCGTTTAATCCTATACCTGTGCTGACCTCCATTTTTGAACTATAGTGTTATCGTTCTTCGTTCCATACACATCTTTATTGCACTTATTTATCAACTCAGAAAAGAAGTCATTGTTCTTGTTTTCTCACACCTAAGTTATGGTTTAATTAATGCTTGGGACATAATAGGTACTTATGTACCTGGGACCTGATGTACTAAGGGAGGTCATTGAGACTGCTGAGCTATATCCCATAAAAGGATTGTTCAACTTCAAAGATTATTTTGATGAGATTGATTCATATTATCATCAAACAGTTGCTTTTGATCTCGGGGTTTCAACTGGATGGAAATCTCTGAATGAACTATACAATGTAAGAACACTTTCTTAATTTCCAAATTGCTATGGCGATATAATAACATTTTCTCATCATCTATAGAAGTATATTTTTCTTTAAAAAAACTCAATTCAAATTTACTTTCGAACTTTATCTTTACAATAAATGTTGAATGAGAATATGAGAACATGATGCATTATCAATACTAAGTGTATTCATGATTGCACAAGAACATTGTCTTATCCGCTTTAGGGAAAAGTTCTTGAATATTGAGTTTTGGAGGGTTGTTTGTAGCATCAAGTGTGTTTTTCTTAATATATGCTCATACTAGCATTGATGAAAACAATGACTCCTCTTCAAGTATTTTTTATTAAAGTAATACAGAGTAATTTTTAGTCTTTGTGAAATATAACTTTCAATCTTATTATGGATGTTTTAAAGGATTATAACAATGGCTCTATATTTAATGTTATAGTTAGGGCAAACTACACAAAGCAGACTAAGTCAAATGCAACTGAGGTTAGGGTTTCAACACTTCGCCTCAATCTGGAGCATATAAGTCATATTCTAGGACCTCAAATAGGTTTTGTTAATACACCAGCAAGCTGATCTATCGTGCTGACATAACTTGTGATAATTTGCCCATTTAAATCTTCTCTCGGATGAAGTTACAATCAACCTCAATATGTTTGTGCTCTCCTGAATTAGTTGTGATGTGCATTGTAGCTTGGTTATCACACATCAATTGCACTTGTTTCATGCTTTCGTACCTCAATTCTTGGAGGAGTGTATTAACCATAACATCTCACATGCAGCAAAGGCCATTGCTCGGTACTTTGCTTCAACACTTGATCTTGCAACAATAACTTGTTTCTTACTCTTCCATGAAACCAAGTTTCCACCAATCATGATACAATTTCCAAAAGTAGAAAGTCTACCCGTTGGACATCCGGCCCAATCCACATCACAGATTCACAGTATCTCACAAATCACAATGTTATAATGGCATTGGTTTTCATAGAGTAACCCTTAACTTGGTGTTTTCTTTATGTATCTCAGGACTCGAGTAGCTGCATCCCAATTTCCATCACATGTTTTTTTTTACTCCAGGGGGGTCTGGGGGAGGGGGCCTGGAGTAATCAGGGCTGAAACTCACTCCATTGAGTTTCAAACCCTTATGTGCCTAGCGGGTTTCGAACTCGAGACCTCCCACTAGTCACGGTAACCTCACAACCAGCTGGGCTGGAATGCTTGGTTTATTATGAGCTAGTTGAACTGTACTTAGGTTATCACAGTACACTCTGGGAGTTTGAAAAGGAACTTGAAGTTTCTTGAGCAAGAACTGAACCCATAGTAATTCAGATGTGGTGTCTGCTAGACTTCTGTACTCAGCTTCTGCTGAGGATCTGGCCACACGTAGCTGCTTCTTGGACCACCAGGAGATTATGTTTGATCCAAGAAAAACACAAGACCCAGATGTAGACCTTGTGTTGACAGGATCAGAAGCCCAATCAGCATCACAAAAGGCTGAAATAGGTAGAGATGCGGTATATAGTGGAACAGGTTTTATGATGATTCCATGTGTGATGGTGCCAGAGAGGTATCTTAGAATATGTTCGACAACTTTCCAATGGTCTTGTAAAGGTGTAGCCATGAACTGACACACCTTGTTGACAGCATAGCTTATTTCAGGTCTTGTTAGAGTTGCATACTGCAGTATTCCAACAATAGATCTGTAGGTAGAGGGATCATGTAATGGCTCACTACCTTGATGAGTAAGCTTGCAGTTACTGACCATAGGAGTTTTGACTCCTTTAGAATCTGACATGCCAACTTGATGAAGTAGATCTCTGACATACTTAGCTTGAGACAGATGTAAACTGCCATCTGGGAGTTTTCTGACCTCAATTCCTAGGAAAAAATCAATGTCTCCTAAGTTCTTGAGAGAGAATGAGGAGTGCAGTTTATGAATGAGTTGTTGAATGGCTGCAGAGTTATTGCCAATAACCAAAATGTCATCTACATATATAAGAATGTAGATTAGAATTCCAGATGACAGAAAGATGAGCACAGAGGGATCACATTTGCTCTGTTTAAAACCAGCATTATATAATACAGAGGTGAGTTTTTGAAACCAAGCTCTTGGAGCTTGTTTGAGCCCATAGAGGGACTTGTGCAATCTGCAGACTAGAGAAGTATCTTTGACCTGAAATCCTGGAGGTTGTACCATGTAAACCTCTTCTTCTAATTCCCCATTTAGGAATGCATTGTTTACATCAAGCTGCTGAATAGACCAGTTATGTGACACTGCAAGAGAGAAGAACTCTGATGGTGACTGGTTTGACAACTGGTGAGAATATTTCACCAAAGTCAAATCCAAATCTCTGGTGAAACCCTTTAGCCACCAGCCTGGCTTTAAACTCGTGTAGGGAACCATCTGAGTTTTCCTGAACTCTGAACACCCATTTGCAACCTACAGTCTGCTTATCTGGGGGTAGGGGTACTAAAGACCATGTGTGATTCTTCATCAAGGCTCTGATACCATATTAGAAGTGTAACAGGATTTAGGAAAGAGACTTCACATTGATTTCAGTGTACTGTACAAGTATTTATAGTCATCAAGACTTTAACAAACTAATAACAGACTTGTACCAATATAACAAACTGGTCAATACTAATCTGCTATATAGATTAGACTTGTTACAATGAGGACTTGTACAGTATTCCTAACAGTTCATAGAGGGGCTATGAGGCATACTTGTTATTAGAAGTTGCAGATGTGTGAGATGTATGTTGCTCTATGGAAGTGTTTAATATATACCTTGAATATGTTATAATCCTTGTGAAGTGCTAGCTAGAATGGGCCTTGTAATATTGTATATTTGATTATATACTCCCATTTTCTCTTGTAATCTTGTACAAACAAGACTCCTGATTATATACTCCCATGTTGCTACAAGCCATATTAACTTTCAAGTTCAAGGGTCAGATATTCTTTCTAACTCTCTTAGATGTCCTTGAATTGTGTATATATGTGTCAAGCTTGATGCATGCAATTTATATACAAGTATGGTACAACTCTACAACTTGAGGGAAGATGCTGACTGTATACGCAAAGAATTGCGAGTCTCACATTTGGAAAATTAGAAATACAATAGAATCTTCTTTTTCTCTTTTCTAGTGCTACAATAGATCTAGTCCCCTACTGCCTTTAGTGCAATTGAATTGGAAAAAGGTCACATACATCATATACAAACTGAAGAGGTGATACAACCTCTCTTCTGGTAATATGCACCATTGTGTATGTTAATGAGGTGATGTAACTAATCTGCCATTAAAATAATAAATAAATAAGACCTTTCTTTAAGGATAAGTCTGGAGTTCTCTATCAAATACATTATTTAATTGTTTGAAAATTGAAAGATGCAACAGTAATCAAGAATTGTTATACTGGTTACTTGGTGAGTGCTAGCATGGATGTGAAGTACTTACTATGGGAGCTTTTCAACAATGTTTTCATTCCAATCAGGTTGTGCCAGGCGAGTTGACTGTAGTTACTGGGGTTCCTAATTCAGGCAAGAGTGAGTGGATTGATGCTCTCCTATGCAATCTTAATCGAAGTGTTGGCTGGAAGTTTGCACTTTGCTCTATGGAGAATAAGGTTAGCTTGCTTGTTTTAACATCTACGTTAGCATGTAATTTTTTCTTACTACAACAATAACAACAACATCCAAGCCTTAGTCCCAAAAGATATTGGGGTCGTCTAACATGAATCGATACATGAGTGTGATTTATGTGTGTGATAGCGTGTTAAGTGTGTGCTAGTCAATAGTATCATCACTCATTCACTCCACCTTCAAGAGTGCATGTGATTTAGAGCAAATGTATGTGTAATAATGTGAGTTGAGTGTGTTTTATGTGTGTGATAGCGTGTTAAGTGTGTGCTAGTCAATAGTATCATCACTCATTCACTCCACCTTCAAGAGTGTGTACGTGCACCATCCATATCTTGGTGGAAGTGCATGTGATTTAGAGCCCGTTTGGTGACCATGTTTTTCGGCTTATTAGGCTTATTAGCCAACTTTTTCACCAACCACGTAATTTTTGATTTCGCGCGCTCAATTGTGTAATAATAAGAAAAAGTAAGGTTGAAGTTACTTCTCTGGCTGTATTGGCTGTAGTTACTGTTGAGGATCATTTTAGCTATTTTTCATATAATTTTTTCATTATTTTGTTAATAAAAAATTATTTAATTATAGTTTTTTCATAAATCAACAGAATCAGCCATTTCACCCAGTACTTCATAAATTTCAGCAAATTTCAGTTGATTCAGCCAATTTCAGCGCTACCAAACGGGCTCTTAATGTGCTGAAATTGCTGGAGTAGATCCTGTTTGTATGTTGTTCAATAGTATGATGTTTAGATGTATTCCATATCCCTACCCTTGTGGGACTGGCTTAGCCCATTTTTTATATCCTAGGGATGTACATAGGGACCTATAGTACCAACATTAACGCATCAATACTATATTCTTTTCTCATATTCTATGTAGTACCATAGTAGGTAGGGTTCACTTGGTTCACCTAATTGTTCGTACGGAAGTCCATTACCCAGTCACATAGTTCGCGGAACGCTTCGGTACGGGAACGAGGATCGGGAACGCGGTTCGCTAGATCTAGCGTATCCGATTCGGAGGGGGGTAGGTTCATTCCGGTACGCGATCTGTACGATGTACCATATGTTCGGTACGCTGTACCTAATATTTTGGTACTATAATAAAACTGAATTACAGAATAGAGATATTTCAACATTGAACAAAAACAGATTTCATAACATGATGTCATAACATTAAACAAAAGCCAAAACATTAATACTCAAGAAACAGTGGCTGGGGACTGTGTTGTCTAAAATCACAAACAAGAGTGGAGAGAATAAAGCCAACTGCATAGGGAAGACTGCTAAGAGTAGTTGGCGTATAAAGCAGATCATTTTGCCTCAATTTATAACTGTTATTAGAGGGTAAAATTGATGAGTAGGATCAGAAAACTAAGAGTCTAGGAGTGTGGTTCGAAAATCAAAGTTCATACGCCATTTAAACATGGAAACGAAACGCAAACTAAGAGTCACAGACCTAGGAAATGACGATTCAAATCTGCGCGACGACTGGAAACGGCGTTTTCAAGCTGCGCGACGTCTGGAAACGGCGAATACAATCGCTGCAAACATTGTTTGGGATCGATTTGAAGATCGATTGGGATCGACTATGAACAGCATCTGGGAACAGCATGGCGTTCCGACTAGCGACCGGATCATTTTTGTACCGTGATTGGGTACGGAACGATCGGTATGCAGATCGCGCCTCCTGTAGCGATTTATGTATCTATGAGTCCAACCCTAGTGTACCGTGATACTATTCAATTTTTTTTAGCCTAGGGGGTTGGGGCCTGGGGTAAAGAAGGCTGAAACTGCTTCCATGAAGTTTCGAACCCAAGATCTCCCTTATGGGAGAGTGAGTCAGAGACTTGTGAGCTGGCCCGCTTCCTCACCGTGATACTATTCATATGTCTTGCTAAAAACATGAACTTCAAGTGCTCTTCTTTAGAGGAGCTAGAATTAGATCCAAAAAACCACACACATGTCTATCAGGTCCATTCTTTACATTATACAGCAATCGACAACCAATAGCTGTTTCACTTGATTACAGCGGAACCAATTTCCATGTTATTGTAGATTGAAAATCTCCCTTTCATCAACAAAGCTTGCACCAGTCATGCTTCTTGATTTAGCATAATAATTTTGCAATGATACACGAGTACATGACTACTTGATTACTAGCTTAAGTCACTGTCCTCTCATGATATTTTAAGGCGAGTTGAAATAATCTATGGTGTGATGATGACAGTTTTGGATATTCATCTTGGTCATTTATTGACAAGGCTCCGCCCCAAAGGGTAACTGGTGTAAAACTTGGCTATGCTTTTTTCAATTAATTTATTGTGTTAACTAATTTTGAAGACAATAAATTTCATGCCGTAAAGCTGCACTAATTCAAAGTAGTTGGGTTGAGGTGATGCTGATGATGTGACATGGCTACAAGCATGTGAGCTCATGAACTCGCGGGAGCCTACCCATCCCATTTGCTAAAATGCCTAACCCAACCTATATGAGCCACGGGCAAGCCTAGTCCACTAGTTCAAGTGGTAGGAATGGGGAAGGTATTTGAAACCTGGCCCAGCCCATTGGTCTGAACCGTCATGACCCATATCGGCCCAGTTTGTTAACCCCAATTGAGCCTAGCCCATAGATACAGAAATCGCTGAGATACCCGCTTTTTGCGTTCCGGATCGCGCGTACCGGATCACGGTACATTTGCGTGCCAGTCGCTTCTGGGTCGTGACTTCGGTACAGAGGTTGAAGGTCGCGGATCGCGCGTATCATCGTCGCAGGTCTCCATCGCAGGCCTCTCCATCGCAGGTCTCTCCATCTGAGGTCTCCATCGTAGGTCTCGTTTTATAGTATTTTAGTCTTGTAGAAATAACTTGAGAAAGTAAAATGTATTTTATTTCTCTTATTCTGTGTAATACAATGAGATGAATACAGAATACATATATAGCTAGAGAAAAGTGGAATAAGGAAGGAATCCTCCTAATTAAGATTCCCTAATAAAGACAAAATAATTGGGGATATTTAGAGATTCTGAGATCTCTAAGATATCTCCTCATAAATGCTAAATCGGATGAGTAATTATCTGTAATAATCTACACTCCCCCTCAAGCTGGGTGATGGATATCATCCATGCACAGCTTGCTAGATAAGTCTTCAAACTGAATTCTGGGAAGTGCCTTGGTGAGTATATCCGCTATTTGCTATCTGGTTGGAACATAGTTCAGCTGGATATCCTTTGCTGCAATCTTCTCTGATAAGAACCTTCTGTCTATATCAATGTGTTTGGTCCTGTCATGATAAACAGGATTCTTAGCAATACTGATAGTAGACTGGTTGTCACATGAGATCTAGATGGAGCTTTCAAATGGGAGTTTGAGCTCATTCATCAATCTTCTTAACCACAATCCTTCACAGATTCCTTGTGTTAAAGCTCTGAGCTCAGATTCCGCACTACTTCTAGAAACCACTGATTGTTTCTTGCTCCTCCAGGTGACTAAATTACCCCATACATAGGTACAGTAACCAGTAGTTGACCTTCTGTCTAAGAGGCTTCCAGCCCAGTCAGCATCTGTAAACACTTCAATCTTCCTTGTCCCTTGTTTCTGAAACAACAATCCTTTTCCAGGAGTCATTTTTAGGTACCTCAGAATTCTATGCACTGCAGTTAGGTGTTCCTCGGTTGGGTCATTCATGAATTGACTTACCACACTTACTGAGAAAGCAATGTCTGGCCGTGTGTGAGATAGGTAGATTAGCTTCCCTACCAGCCTTTGATATCTACCCTTATCAACTGGTGGACTTTCAGTCTCACTGCCTAACTTCTTTGATATATCCATAGGAGTGTCCATTTGCTTGCACCCAAGCATTCCAGTTTCACTTAGCAAGTCTAGAACATATTTCCTTTGTGAAATGAAAATGCCCTTCTTAGATCTTGCCACTTCCATTCCCAGGAAGTACTTCAACTCGCCTAGCTCCTTGATCTCAAATTCTCTTGCTAGATGAGCCTTCAATCTGTCCAATTCAGCCTTATAATCCCCTGTCATAATAATATCATCAACATATACTATAAGAATAGCCAATTTTCCAGAGTCTGCTCTCTTTACAAACAGTGTATGGTCTGCCTGACATTGCATGAACCCTTGTTTAATAACTGATCTTGTGAACCTATCAAACCATGCTCTAGGAGGCTGCTTTAGTCCATACAAGGACTTTTTCAGTCTGCAAACCTGACCAGATTTCCCCAAGTCTTCTAATCCAGGTGGTACATCCATGAATACTTCCTCTTCTAGGTCTCCATTAAGAAAGGCATTCTTAACATCTAGTTGATGTAATGGCCAGTCTAGGTTCACTGCGAGTGATAACAACACTCTAATGGTGTTCAACTTTGCCACTGGTGCAAATGTCTGAATAATCAATGCCATAAGCTTGAGTGAACCCCTTAGCAACCAGCCTTGCCTTCACCCTTTCAATCTTTCCATCAGCCTGATATTTAACTGTAAATACCCACTTGCAGCCAACAGTTCTCTTCCCTGCTGGCAAATCTGTAAGCACCCAAGTTCCATTCTTCTTCAATGCTGCTAATTCATCATGGACAGCCTTCCTCCACCCTGGATGTTCAAGGGCTTCCTTGATGTTGTTAGGAACCTGAATACTATCAATCTTTGAAATAAAAGTTTGATAGTTTGCTGATAGTCTCTTATAACAAACAAAGTTATAGATAGGATGCTTGGTACACTCCCTTACTCCCTTTCTGATAGCAATAGGCAAGTCTGGTTCCTCATCATCTCCTTCTATAGCCTCAACCTCTTTGTCATCAGGACTCAAATTTGAGTCAGATGATTGGGTGGTGTTAATTGGAGTGATGTGCTCTTCTTCTGGAACTCTGGTTCTAGGTTTCCGCTTATAGGTATTCTTGTTGAATGGGGAATTTTGATGTAGTGTAGGATTTTGGGGTAATGATTGGGGTGATGAAGTTGGTGGCTGAAATGGTGTGGTTGGTGGAGAGACTGTATTGTTTGGAGGGCTTGATTCAGGTCTGTCTGGGAGTATGGATTCAATGTGGTTAGATTCAGATTCTTGGAGGTCTGGAATAGTGTCTGAAATAGGATTCAAAGACTGGATTTCATTGTGGTTCTCCCCCTGAAATTAAGTTTTGGAATAGAAAGGCTGATTTTCAAAAAAGGTTACATCCATTGTGATGTAGACCTTTTTGGTGGCAGGAGAATAACATTTATATCCTTTCTGGTTGGCAGCATATCCTATGAATATACAAAGTAAGGATTTAGGATCCAGTTTTGACCTAACTGGAGAATGGTTGTGAACAAATGCTTTGCAACCAAAGACCTTTGGTGGAAGATTGGTAATAGGGATGTGAGGATGTAGATAAGATAGGATTTGGTATGGTGTTTTAAATTTGTGAGTTTTGGAGGGCATCCTATTTATCAGGTAAGCTGCAGTTAGGACAGCCTCTCCCCAGTAGTGTTTAGGAGTGTGAGTGGTGAACATAAGGGCTCTAGCAACTTCCAGTAAGTGTCTATTCTTCCTTTCTGCCACCCCATTCTGTTGTGGGGTGTCAACACAGGAGCTAATGTGTATAATCCCCTTTTTTTGACAGAAACTCTCCTAAATTGGATGAGAAATATTCTTTGACATTATCAGTTTTAAAAACCTGAATCTTGGTTTGAAACTGAGTTTTGATCATAGAATAGAATTTTTGAAAGATAATATTGACTTCTGACTTATCTTTCATGAGGAAGACCCAGGATAGACGTGTATGATCATCAATAAATAGAACAAACCACCTTGAGCCAGTGAGATTTTTGACCTTAGATGGGCCCCAAACATCACTGTGGATGAGAGAAAAAAGTTTAGATGGTTTGTAAGGTAGACTGGGATAGTGACTTTTAGTATGTTTAGCAAGTTGACAAAATTCACAATCAAAGGCAGAAATTTTATTTATGAGTAATGAAGGAAATATTTTTTCTAAGTACAAGACATTAGGATGACCAAGATGATAATGCCATAACTGAATTTGAGTATCAAATTGACTCCTACTAAGACTCCCTAAGAACTTATGGTTGAATTGACTCTCACTGGAAGTTGTCTTGTTGGTGGAGTTGGGTGAATGTGGTGAATGTCCCAGAAGATAGAGTCCACCACTTTGCTTAGCACTGCCAATCATCCTCCCCGAATCCAAATCCTGAAATTCACACATTGTTAAGCACTATCTTGTCAGAAATTTTGACTCTTCCAGTCCCTTTTATTGCTGAAGTAATTCCATCAACAATCTTCACAGTTACCTTATTCTTCATAGGGATCAATTCAGCAAAAAACTTGCTGTCTCCAGTCATGTGATCTGATGCCCCTGAATCAACAATCCAATAGGGCTGATTGTGTGCAACTAGGGTTGTTAAGGCATTACCTGTCTGAGCAGTAAGGCTAGTTGATGGTGCAGGCCCCTTGCTCTGGTGTTGAAGAACCTCAATCTGCTCATTGGTAAATGCAGCAAGATTAGAAGTGCCCATATCTTCTTTATCTCCAGTAGCTACATAGGCTCCTTTCCCTTTGCTTGGTTTGAAATCTTTAGGTTTACCATGCAAATTCCAGCATGTTTCTTTGGTATGGCCTGGTTTCTTACAGTGATCACACCATGGCCTCCCTTTTTTCTTGTTTTCATTCTGTCTAGAAGAGGTATATAAGGCTGACCCTTCAATATTTTGTTGTTGGCCTTGAGATTTCAGACCCATCATTACCTTCCTTCTGCTTTCTTCTCTTCTGACTTCTGAGAAGGCTTCTCTAAGGGTGAGTTTCTTTCCCATTATTCTGCCCCTAACCTCATCTAGACTCTTGTCTAAACCTGACAGGAATTTGAAGACTCTCTTCCTTTCACAGATCTCCTGATATAACTTCTTATCCTTAGAACATGACCAATTGTATGTCTCAAACACATCAAGATGCCGCCAGAGTCTCACAAGGTTGTTGAAGTATTGAGTTACACTCAATTCTTCCTGCGGAAGGTTATGTAGCATTGATTCAACTTCAAATAATTCAGAAGTGTTATCTGAAGTTGAGTATGTTTCTTTCACAGCCTCCCAGATCTCGTGAGCTGTTTTGTATAGTAGGAAATTTTCTCCTATACTGATTGTCATGGAATTGATGAGCCATGACATCACAGTATAATTCTCCTTTTTCCACTTCTTGTAGCCTGAATCTCCTTGATCTGGAGCAGGTGCATCACCTGTCAAATAGTCCTCCTTGTCTTTTCCACACACATACATCATAACGGACTGAGACCATTGTAGATAATTACTTCCATTCAGTTTATGGCAAGTAATAATCGAATCTGACTGATTAGGAGTGGTGACTGTGCTTCCATTGATATTCTGGTTGCTGCCATCTCCACTTGGGACAACCTCTGAATGTTCAAAGGTGACTGGGATAGATCCATCTCTCTCGATGGTCATCCCATAGGATCCGAACTTAATCATTTTAGAGAATAACCACGCTCTGATACCATATAGAAATAACTTGAGAAAGTAAAATGTATTTTATTTCTCTTATTTTGTGTAATACAATGAGATGAATACAGAATATATATATATCTAGAGAAAAGTGGAATAAGGAAGGAATCCTCCTAATTAAGATTCCCTAATAAAGACAAGATAATTGGGGATATTTAGAGATTCTGAGATCTCTAAGATATCTCCTCATAAATGCTAAATCGGATGAGTAATTATCTGTAATAATCTACAAGTCTCTTACTCTGCGGCCCTCTCATTCTTTCTCATTGGCAAACCGTTCTTTTTTGCTTTTTGTTTTCCCCTCGGTCAGTTGACTCCAGCTACTACAACTTTTCCATCTTTTTTGAACTACACAGTATATTCTCTTTTAACAACTGATTTTTTTATTACTTCTTTAATATTGAATACCTATATCAAATAAAATATCAGATTTAGTTTATTCAGTTTATTAATTGGGAACAATTGAAATTTGGAATGTTACATTAATTGTTCAATACTCCATATTATTAATATTATTATATTTCTACATTATAAGTCGTATATGTTTTACGGTACACCGTACCGTAATCAATGGTACAATGTACCGCATATCGAAATAGCGTACAAAAGAAGCCTACCCCCTCACGTATCGGATACGCTAGACTTAGCGAACCCCGTTCCCGATCTTCGTTCTCGTACCGAATCGTTCCGCGAACTATGTGACTATGGCCTAGCCCAGAGGCTCATTTATACACTACTTGTTAATTAATTATACACTACCGTCAAGCATGACCATCTCAGTTGTCCATCATCATCATCATTACCCTAGTGCCTCAAAGGCTTCCACCTACGGTGGGGTGAGGGGAATCGGATGTACGCAGTCTTACCCCTGCTTAACACAGAGAGACTGTTTCCGGATGACCCATAGTGAAAATAGCGGGCCGAAAATTGCATGGATTGACTGACTGTTGCTTCATAACAAAGAATCGCATACAGTTTAGTGAGCTATTTGCTTTATTCCATCATATTCCCAAGCCAAAAAATAGTGAGTCTTTGACTCCATTGCAAATGATAGAACAACTAGAAAAATGCTGTTATGATTAATTAAATACATTGAACTGGTAAAGAGTGCTTCCAAATCCAGAAAAGCAAGGCACTCATGCAATGCATCCCAGCCAATGCTTATTGTCATGTTCCATCATAATGAATTTACAATATAGATGTGTATACATTGAAATGTATATAGATGTACCAATGACAGAAACCATATGAGATATATATGTGCTTAAATAGTTAATTTTAGTAGTTATGACTTATGAGTGAGTTTTGATTTTTTAGTTTTTAAATAGTGAACGTTTTTAATTTTTAGATTCAAGGTGATACAGCTTTGAAATCATGAATATATCATAATTTACTTAACCAAACTTAAATGAGTATCCAAATAAGTAAGTGAACTAAGATTAAACATACTACTTAAATGAACTTCGTAACAAACATAGAGTCAAATATAAATAAGTTCTGGGCATATATTCTTCTTTATGTTTTAATTGAACTACGTTGCTTTTTTTGTTTAAGCACATTCTTTACAGTACAGATAAACACAACTAAGCTTTGAATTGGTTTACGAAATGTGGTTCAAGCTACAAGCTACTACGTATTAAACAAAGATAACAGTTCATTTACATCCCTAGTTGGGATGCTTAAAGCAGTTCAGTAAATTGAAGGAATCTTCCTTTCAAATCTTCTAAGTTTTTACTTCATTTATTAATCCATAGGTTCGGGAGCATGCTAGGAAACTTCTGGAGAAGCGCATAAGGAAGCCTTTTTTTGATGTCAGGCAAGTTATAATTAAAGCATGTCCATATTTTTCATTTAAATTTCAAAGAGATCCTCCAAGGAGCATTTTCAGAAGGCATGCATGATTTCTACTGGTCCAACTTTTCAAGTGAAAACTGATCAGTAGTGACCGAATCTGGAAAATGTGGTATCAGGTGCCATTGATCTACACCTCACCGGCACCCTAACTCTTACAAGGATGGGTTGGTGGCATTATATCTATAGTACTAATGAATTGTATTCAGTTACTTAACACCATAGATGCTTGCCAAATAACACATTATGCACAGTATGCTACTAGCATAGCCTTTGGGGTCAACTATGTCTCCATGATTTAACATCACCCACCCCATCCTTCCCAATTTCTATACCTCCAATTTATGGGGTATGTAAACTGCTCCTCTCCCCATCATTCGTAAGAAGGGTGGGAGATTCATCCTTTCCTTTAGTAGATCTTGCACATAATTTTTTTCCCTTTATTAAGTTAGTCCATGAACTCCGCTATGAGATCATTTTTTTGGTATCAAGCCTGTCCCAAGCCAGGATAAAGGAGGAGGGTGTTGTGGTAGCCGCGTGACGGCCAACAGTATCACTTAGTCACATCACATGACATGAATCGAAATATGAATATCGCTACAGCTAGGTCGTCGCCCGTAAGCGACGCGTCATCCCTCCGCTTGGGGGTTGTGTCAAATGGGCAAGGGCGCGCTACACTTCATAGGCCTGGGTGTGGTGATAAGAATGCTAAGACTGCTAGGTCGTCGCCCGGAAGCGATGCGCCACTCCAATGCCCGGGGATGGTGTCAAATATGCAAGGGCATGGTGGGGGTCAATGTGGGGTGTAGAAGAGAAGGCAGGGTGTTAGATTGCGCTTTGGGACATGGAATGTTGGCTCTCTTACGGGAAGATCATCTGAGATAGCTGAGGTTATGAAGAGGAGAAATATCAGCATAATGTGCATGCAAGAAACTAAGTGGGTTGGAGAAAGGGCACGTGAGATTAATCCCGGAGGTTTTAAGCTTTGGTACTCAGGGAGAGAGAGGAACAGAAATGGAGTAGGCATTATGGTGGCACATGATTATGTTGACGGTGTGGTTGAAGTGTTTAGGAAGAACGATCGCATCATGAGCATTAAGTTGATAATGGGGGATGAGATTGTGTCCGTGGTTAGTGCCTATGCACCACAAGTGGGATTGGATGCATCTATCACTCAACAATTTTGGGAGGATCTTGAGGAAGTGGTGCGACGAGTGCCAAAGGGAGAGAAACTGGTCATAGGAGGCGACCTCAACGGGCATGTGGGCCCAAGTCGTGATGGTTTTGAGAGTGTCCATGGCGGACATGGTTTGGGCACTAGAAATGAAGCGGGGAAAAACATTCTGGATTTTGCCTTGACATATGAGTTGGCTGTGATGAACACTTGGTTCAAGAAAAGAGACTCTCACCTTGTCACCTATAGAAGTGGAGCTAATAGTACCCAAATTGACTACTTTTTAGTACGGACGACTTGGAGAACTAGCTACACTGATTGTAAGGTTATCCCAGGTGAGAGTGATGTCACTCAGCATAGGATGCTTGTGCTTGATTTTCGAGGTAAAAAGAGTGGATGAGTTAAGGTACAAGGGGAGCCAAAGATAAAATGGTGGAGGCTCGAGGGGAATCTCCAACAAAGTTTTGCACACAAAATGTTGGAGGAAGATGTTTGGTCTATTGATAATGACACACACGTGGATGATGTGTGGTTACCAATGGAGTCCACCATTAACAAAGTGGCGAAGGAGATACTCGGAGAATCTAAAGGATGTCTGCCACCAAAAAAGGACACATCTTGGTGGAATGATGAGGTGAAACAAGCAATAAGGGCCAAAAGAGAATGCTATAAGAAATTGGGCAAAAGTTGGAGCGACGAGAACATAGAGGAGTACAAAGAGGCTAGAAGGAGAGCAAAGAAAGTTGTGAAGGAAGCCAAAATAAAAGTGAATAAGGAATTGTATGTAAAGTTGGATTCTAAGGAAGGAGAAAAAGATATCTACAGACTTGCTCGCCTTCGTGACCGTAGGACTCAAGATATCGGAAAAGTTAAGTGTGTGAAGGATGTCGATCAAAGGGTACTAATGGACGATGAAGAAATAAAAGAGAGGTGGAGGTCATACTTTGATACCTTGTTCAACGGGAATAAAGTCCAAGGTATTGATGATCTTACTATACCAGAGTGTATGGTAAATAGGGACTTCGTGAGAAGGATTCAAACAACAGAAGTTAAAAAGGCTATGAGAAAAATGGGCCGGAAGAAAGCAGTGGGCCCAGATGGCATACCGATCGAGGCTTGGAGAAGTTTGGGAGAGAAAGGCATCGAGTGGCTAACACGTTTCTTCAACATGATTTGGAGAAACAACAAAATGCCAGTGGGTTGGCGGAAGAGTACTCTCATTCCCTTATTTAAAAATAAGGGTGATGTGCAAGAATGTGCTAACTATCGAGGGATTAAGCTTATGAGTCACACCATGAAACTTTGGGAGCGAGTGGTTGAGCAAAGACTACGTAAAAGTGTGAAACTTTCGGAGAATCAATTTGGTTTTATGCCTGGACGCTCAACAACTGAGGCCATTCACCTTCTTAGACAAGTTGTGGAGAAGTATAGAGACACTAAAAAGGATCTGCATTTGGTGTTCATTGACTTAGAAAAGGCATATGATATGGTACCTCGAGAAGTTCTTTGGTGGGCCTTAACTAGAAAAGGCATATCACGTAAGTATATCAGCATCATCATGGATATGTATGATGCTTGTACTACAAGTCTCCGCACTAGTGTAGGGAGGACCGCAGAGTTCCCTATTACTATTGGAGTGCACCAAGGATCTGCTCTGAGTCCTTTCTTATTTGCTTTAGTCATGGATGAACTTACGAAGTCAATTCAAGAAGATATACCGTGGTGCATGATGTTTGCCGACGATATTGTATTGATTGATGAGACATAATCCGGTGTTAAAGCAAAGTTGGAAGTATGGCGACAAACATTGGAGAGCAAGGGTTTCAAACTGAGCCAAAGCAAGACCGAGTATATGGAGTGCAAGTTCGGTGGAGGTAGAAGTGGTAGCAACAGTGGGATTACTCTTGATGGTAAGGAGACACCGGTGTGTGATATGTTCCGTTACTTGGGATCCATAATTCAGAAGGATGGTGAATTAGATGGAGATGTATGTCATAGAATCAGAGTTGGGTGGATGAAATAGAAAAGTGCTTCAGTATTTCTATGCGATCGAGGTATGTCGACTAAATTGAAAGGTAAATTTTATCGTACAACAATTAGGCCGACATTAATGTATGGCGTAGAGTGTTGGGCGGTGAAGCAATGCCACATTCAAAAGATGAGTGTGACAGAGATGCGTATGTTGCGTTGGATGTGTGGACATACCAGAAAAGACCGCTTGAGGAATGAGGTAATCAGACAAAAGGTGGGAGTAACACCTATAGAAGATAAGATGCAGGAGTCTCGTTTGTTGTGGTTTGGGCATGTGCATAGAAGACCGAGTGATGCACCTGTTAGACGACTTGAGGGGTGGGGAGAAGAGTCAGAGAAGAGAGGGAGGGGAAGACCCAAACAGACTTGGATTAGAGTAATCAGAACTAATATGCGTCTTCTTGGGTTGGATGAGAGTATGGCTTTGGAGAGAGCAAAGTGTAGGGCGCACATCCATGTGGACGATTGATGTCTTGTCTACCTTTCCTCTCTTGTTTCTTTTATCGTTTATCTTCCTTATCTTTTTATAATCTTATGTTACTTTTATCTTCTAGCTTTTTTATGTTCTTTTATTTACTTTTCTTTTATCTTGGTTATATTCTTTGTTATTATTATCTTATATTTATGTATCTTTACTTTATTCATTTTATCTTACTTTTTTTCCTTTTCTTGTCCGCCTTCTCTTTTTGGCATCGTTATCATAGATCGATTCATGTTAGCCGACCCCAAATTCTTTTGGGATTAAGGCTTGGATGTTGTTGTTGTTGTTGTTGTTGTATTAAGTTAGTCCATGCCTATAAATTGTAATTAGCTATTGTATTTACTCTTAAGAAATAAATTCTATTCTTGAAGTATATATTTATTTTAGAAGAATTATATAAATATTTATTTATTTATTTATAAAAATAACCTTATGTTTATACTGATGCGTTCCCCCCACTTTTCCCATCCTATATATTCTTGAAATGACGTTTCCCGTTTTCCATTTCCGTGCTACTTGGCTAATGGGAAAAGAAAATCGAAAATTAAATAGACATTTCCCTTCAATGATTAATGATGCATTCATTCCCCACCCTTATATCAATTGATATCTGGGTTTATATAGTAAAAGGGCTATTGAGAGAATTTGATGGCTAATGGAGATGGCTCCAAATGAAGATCAAACATGCTATTCAGCCTACTCTTTCTCAATTTTGTTTTATATTAGTGTTCATATATAGAATTTTCGGAAGATAAAAAGTGCAATTGGATGCTTTATCGCCTGCATATCTTTAAGTGCAGAGCTAGGAATAGCGAGATAAAAGTAAAGCTACAGTAACTTTCAGAAGATAGTGATAGAAGCAGAATCTGTTGAATTTCAGATATGTCCTTAATAATCAAAACTCGTTTTGGCATCAGGTATGGGGAATCTGCTGAGCGGATTAGCATTGGTGAATTTGAGCAGGGAAAGCAATGGCTAAGTGATACATTCTCTCTTATAAGGTGGTGCTGGCTTTCATTATGGTCACTGATTTTCACACTCAGTCATGTGTCCTGGACCTTGTAACTTTTCGATATGAGCCAACACTCTAATGCAGCGAAAGAAACATGTAGAATGTAGTCTATCCGAGTGGCAAGCTAACAGCAGGTGGATTTAAGCCTTCAAGGGTATGTTTGGTTTGAGGTTAATGGAGGGGAGGGGAGGGAAATTGCTCCCCTCCCATCATCTGGTTAATTTTTGGATGTTTAATTCCCCCCTTCTTCCCTCTAATTTCTGTACCTCCAATTTATGGGGTTAAAACCCTTACCCCTCCAACGACAACTCGACAAGGTATCACAAAGAAAAAACCCATCCACTCTCTTGAACCAAACACACCCTGAGGTGACAAGCAATACTGAGTTGTACTTCAACCAAACACACCCTGAGGTGACAGGCAATGATGAGTTGTACTTCTTAGCCTTTGCCTTTTTTGAGACGACACATTTTTCGAGGGCCCATATAAATTCAATAATGGGGTCTAGTACTCTAGTTGTCATGCACATACAATGTGCTTGATTGAATAAAATTTGTAGGGGCAGCATGCATCATATGATGTCAAGTATGACTGAATCCTTGTATCTTCTTTTTCTACATTCATTTATTATGTATAGAATATGAACTGTTGTTCAGGTGTGAGAATGACTGTCTACCAAGTATAGACTGGGTTCTTAAACTAGCAAAAGCAGCAGTTCTCAGACATGGTGTGAATGGGCTTGTAATCGATCCGTATAATGAGCTTGATCATCAACGTCTTCAGATCCAGTGAGTTGCTTCTAAGCCCCCTCTTCAGGGGATATTAATATCCATTTCCTTTATAATCTTCTCAAATACTGTCATGTTGAGTAAGAATTCAATATTCTATAGGACTGAAACAGAGTATGTTAGTCAGATGCTAACAAAGATTAAGCGGTTCGCACAACATCATTCTTGTCACGTCTGGTTTGTAGCACATCCACGTCAGGTCCGTAGTTTGTACTCTGTCCCTATTATATAGTATTGCTACACTCAATGACAGTTCTGTCGCTTGACTGCAGCTTTTTAAGTAACCGCTCTACATGTGTTAACAGTTGCAGCAGTGGTCTGGAGGCCCTCCAAACTTATATGATATCAGTGGAAGTGCACATTTCATAAACAAATGCGATAATGGAATTGTTATTCATCGCAATAGGGATCCTGAGGCTGGTCCTCTGGACCTAGTGCAGGTGAGTGTTATATTTGTAAGAGCTATTTTTCTTCAACTTTTGAAATTGAAAATCTGAGTTGCCAACCATTCAACTTCAGGTTTGTGTAAGGAAGGTACGGAACAAGGTTATTGGAACTATTGGGGAAGCCTTTTTGTCATACAGCAGGTATTTTGATGTATTATTTAGTGAGATTTTCATTGTTTTACATTGAAGCTTGCTATCCCATGTAAGTGCACTTTTGAGCAATTGTCCTTATTTATAACCAATTAACATGGTCATCTCTGATGTTTTTATAAAGGGTAAACTGTCAAATAAGTCTTGTACTATATTGAAAATGTCAATTGAGCCCTCATACTGAATATTTACTCAATCAAACCCGCAAACTTGTTTAAATCACCCAAATACGCTTTTTAGCCGGTTCACAACCAGTTCGGAGGTAAAATGCTTGCATAGCTACTGACGTGGCAGAAAATAATCTTTCTGGCTGAGTATTATTTTCGTCGTTTTTTCCTTTTCTTTTCCTTTCTTTCTTGCCTCTTTCTGGTCAACTAAAAAACCCGTCACCTTCATGGCCTCCTGGTTCTTTTGTTCTTCCATCCACAGTCCAAAAATGGGTATCACTTTCTTTATTTTTAATTTTCTCCTCTCTTTTACTATCCATCCAACTACAGCCACCCACCTTTCTCTCTACTCCAACTTTCCTCCTCTTTATTCTTTTTGTTTTGTGTCATAACTCCATTTGGTCAAACTAAAGCTGACTTGATATCGGGTTCATCCAAAATAAATGTTTGGGACTAACAGATGATTTGAAGGAGGCTAATTCTGATTTTTATTTCGGTCAAAGCTTGGGTTGAAAGCTTCAATTAAGGATCAAAGCCCTTTTTTTATCTAAAAGAGTGAGGACTCCCCGATGTCGAGATTCTCGCCAACCAGCCAGGAAGAAGAAATAGTCGATCATCATCATCATCATCATCATCATCATCAGCATCATCATCGCCTCAATGCCGCAAAGGATCCCACCTACAGTGGGGTAAGGGGGGGTCGGATGTACGCAGTCTTACCCCTGTACTAAAGCACATAGAGACTTTTCCGGATGACCCATAGTGAAAATGCGCTTCGAAAGTTGCATGGACCGACTGCTTTTTCATAACAAAGAAGCGCAGACAGTTTAGTGAGTCATTTTGCTTTATTCCATCATATTCCCAAGCCAAAAATAGTTAATCTTTGGCTCCATCGCAAATGATGGAAGAAGTAGTCGAGCTTCGGTGTAAATTATAGTCCCTTCATATGGAATAAAAGAAAAAACAGTATGAAAAATGAGGTAATTAAAATGGAAAATCAATGAACATACGGGATAAGAAGAAATTAAAGACGTTTCGGGGAAGAAAAAGAAGAAAACAAATAAGGAAGGAAAAAAGATAGAAAAGAAAAATAAAACCTGAAGAAAGATACAGAGTACATATAATAAATAAATAAAAAGCCATAAATTTACATTTTTAGAGAGTAAATGATAAGTAACTGAAGAATCCAAGAAGAAAGTAGTAGTTTATTAATGAACATTTAGTGAAGGAATACAGAAAGTCATGAAAGGAAAGGTTTGAGACTCTTCGAGTGGTCTCTCACTCCCAATATCCCAGTCCTGATCCCAAGTTCTGCCCCCCCATCTACTCACCACTCACCCTTATTTATTCTATTTCTAATGGGCCAGTCAAAGCCAACTACTACCAGGCCCAGGACCCTCTATTACACTATCACACTTAATTATTATTATTCTCGTAAGCCCATTATCCTAACATATCTCCCCCGTTGGACAACCACCTTGTCCTCAAGGTGGGTGATATTAAACAGCCTTGATCTTTAGGTTCACCTTCATTCTTGCGCCTCTCCCTTCCCAGTACTTCACTGCTTTCTGGACCCATACCTTCCTGATTTGAACCTTCATCATCACTCCTTCAATAGCCAGAAAGAGCAGAGGCAAGGACTTTGTTGCATCCTGCTCCACAATGTTGCAGAGGTAAAGATCTTCTAGCAACTGCATCTCTGGCCCAACTTCCCACCACTTTATGCTGTATTTCCTGAAATTTTTCTCTGCAGCTTCAGCAACTGTCCCTTCGAGCAAAGCATGAGTTGAAAGTGAGCTGGCATCGGCCTCAACATTTTCTGCCCCTTCCGGATTATCTGGTGGACGTCCTGTGGGTTGAATATCGTCATCGTTCATCTCCCTAAACGCGTAATGAATGCCATAAATAGCAGAGAATGTGGGTAGGTTTGACTTCCTTTTTAATATAGAAGATAAGTGTCTGTTCTCCAGCTCCCATACCATAGGACCTTCCATGTTGTTCCCTCCAACTGCTTTCAGCATACCATCTGTGGTCCCCATAGTTAAGAACTGTTCAATAGGGTCAAAATGATTCCAGTACATCACACCACCACCAAAGTGCTGATTATAATCCATACCAAGACAACCAGAGACCTCTAATTCGTCTTCTGTGATATGATAGTGGTGCAGTACTTTTTCAGCATCACTATTGTTAGCTACTTTCATAAGATCAGAATTGTAGCAGTGAATATAGCTCAAACTATCAAACCCCTCAGAGGAATTATTTTGATTTTGCATTTCAATTTTGTCCTCCTTTTTCTCAGACTTTGATTCATCCTCTTCCATTTCCTCAGTTTCCTCTTCAGAGAGAGTTTTCTGCGGATTGCCTGACTCTTGTGACACGTACAGCAACGGCGACGTGGAGGCTTCTCCTTCCAATCGCATCGTGCCTTGAAGTGAACTGCTAGGGTAGGATGAAGTCTGCGAACTGATGGTGTCTCCTCTTTCTGGAGTGATACTAGGGTTCGCATAGGGATTTCGCAGCGATTTGGAGTCTCCTTCTGATAGCCTCACACTTTGATTCGAGATGATAGTAGATGAAGAGACCTGCGAACAAGGGAGTTCTATTTGCGAAGAAACTTGTTGACCGGAAGATGCTGTTCGCGACGAAGCTGAAGAGGCTTGCGAAGACATCTGCGGACCGGTAGAATAAGCTAGCGACTGTGAAGAGACCTGCGCTAGCGAAGGTGTCTGCGAACTACGTGAAGCAGTTCGCGATTGCGAACTAGGAGGAGCGACGGACGGAAACACCTGATTTTCGATTGGCCGACGGTGTCTAGGTGGACTCCTAGCTCTGTCTCTATGTCGCCTCTGACGGTGACGAAGTTTGCACAGCATATAGCGCAACTCCTTCCACTGACTGTCGCTATTGTCCATCTTCTTCTTCAACTGTCGTTGAAACTGACGATCGATTCAGGCTCCAGGAAGGATGCTTTGATACCAATGATAAGTAACTGAAGAATCCAAGAAGAAAGTAGTAGTTTATTAATGAACATTTAGTGAAGGAATACAGAAAGTCATGAAAGGAAAGGTTTGAGACTCTTCGAGTGGTCTCTCACTCCCAATATCCCAGTCCTGATCCCAAGTTCTGCCCCCCATCTACTCACCACTCACCCTTATTTATTCTATTTCTAATGGGCCAGTCAAGGCCAACTACTACCAGGCCCAGGACCCTCTATTACACTATCACACTTAATTATTATTATTCTCGTAAGCCCATTATCCTAACAGTAAATATTTTGATGAACTGAAAACTAATTTTGGCAATTGAATTAAATTAGTTCTTATCTGTGTACACATGTATCAGATTTGTGTGTGTATATCTGTATATATATACATATATGAAATGTATTGGATAGCAATAAACTGCATACAATGTGGGTATTTTATATTTGATGTGGCTATCCTTGTGGTTTGCTGATGTGTCAATCCTGTGTTATCCTCCCGTAAGCTGGTGCATACATCCTCCGATCTTTTTTAGTTGTAACATTCCTTTTTTCACGTTTGCCAACACACAACTTTGACTGTCATTATATTTAATTCTCTATTAGTATAAATAATTTAAAAATCAGATTATGAAACTTTGTAATGAGACGAATTCAACAATATTTTTCAAAAAAAAAAATAATTCACATACATTAATAAATAAAATGTAGTCAAAATAGAGTACTGAATACTATATAAATTTCAATGTTGCAACTAATACATTACAGAGGATAGCATATACTCCCTCCGGTCCCAAATGAAATTCACACTTTCCTTTTTGGGTAGGTCCAAAATAAACTTCACACTTCTTCTCCCTTCCTTATTTGGCAAATTATCTACATCAAAACAGTACAAAACAATGTCAAACAGTGTCAAACAATGTCACAACAGTGTACTCTACAGTAAAGTCAAATTTATTTCCTTAATTTCTGTGAAGTCAAAGTGTGAATTTCATTTGGGACCTGAGGGAGTACTATGTATGCCCAGCTTTGATATAAAGGATTCAAATGGAGTTACATGAAGAGTCTTTGTGAAACCATTAGCTGTCTGATTGTGAGAACTGAGAAGTAACAAATAATGGCTTGACAATGTTTTTCTTGACTTGATCACGGAAAACATGACTCTCTACTTCAATATGTTTTGTCCTTTCGTGAAGACATTATTGGCCGCTATGGCTAATGCAGACTGATTGTCATGAAAAATAGCAACTTGATGAGGAATGTGTGCATGTAAATCTTAAAGGACATAGCTTATCCAAAGTACTCCCTCCGTCCCAAAAACAAGTTCACACTTTGACTTTCACACACTTTTAGGTAGATTAATTTTTAGGTTTGACTTACCTAAAATGCCCTCAAGGGCTGCAGCTAACACAAATAAAGGGAGATACAATTTGGGGGGGGGGGGGGGTAATGAGCAGTAACTATAGGGCAAAAAATCTAAATATCAATACTAGTCACTCCAATCACACTCATTACATATCACATCCAATACTTTTACAACATTTTTCTTCATCTAATCTATTCTAAACACTTTGAACACACTTAAAAATTCCCTCCAATATTTCGGCCAAAGCTTTTGAATTTCCCTCCCATTACTAGGAGTGGACTCGGGCCGGGCCAACACGCCCGGAACCGGACCGGCCCGCTACTGTGCAGGCCCGGCCCGGCCCGGTGAACCGGTTGATTGCCCGGTTCGAGCCACCCGGCCCGGTGAACCGGTTGGTTGCCCGGTTCGGGCCACCCGGCCCGGTGGGATGGCGGTTCGGGCTCGGACCCTTCAAAAGGTGAACTAGCCCGGCCGG